GTCGTAAATATTAATATTTTTTATATAGATTTAATCTCCTTCAATTCCCTCGGTTTGAAGATTAACCAAACTTGAATTAGATGAACCAAGAAAAAGAGACTCCGAACACCGCAAAAAGTGCAGGAGAAGGATAGAAAGAAGAGTGCTTGGGGCAAAACAACCCTATGTGTCGGTGTTTTGTAAACCGGACTAGTAAAACTATACGATTGTGGCGCTGCTTTAAGAAGACGATGGTAGTATCCAAAAGACATGATGATTTATACTGGTTCAGGCCGGAGCCCTATGTACAGTCTCAGAGATAATCGAGTGTGTGTTTCTCGCTTGAATACTCTAAAGTTTTTACAATGGACTAATGGAGGGTGCAAGAATGGTGGAAGAGGTAGAAGAGCTAGAGCTAAGAGATAAACTGCCTGAAGGGAAGCTTCAGGAGTCCGGAGGTTGTGAAGAAATGTGAAGATGAAAGATGAAGATGTTGTTGCCCTTGACTGCCCATATATAGAGTTTGGGGTCAGGGCATGCATAAAGAAGAAGGTTCTCCCAACCGAGGGGTCATGAGTCTGAGGGAGGGGCCTAGCTAATTTGGCTTGCAAGCTACGCCATCTTGTGGAGCACGTCTGGGCATGGTTGTCGTCATGGTCTTAGGCTCACGTCGCGGCATGGCGTGATGTGGTGCCCTACTGTGCCGTCCGTGGCGGCACTGTAGGCACGGTGGTGGTTCGCCAGCCGTCCCATGCGATATGGTCTCCGCCGTGGCCTTCGTCATTGCCTCCTGGTCTCCTAAGGGCGTCCTACAGAGTTAATAGCCGCCCCCATGTCGTAAATCACCTGGTTGGCTTGTGGAGTGGGTGGCCACGATCCCGAGCTTCGAGGTCATGGCTCCCGTCGGCTTGGATGGCCTCCAAGTCAAGACCTCCTTCGTGGATCCTATCCCGTAGTGGGTAGAATCGTACACATGTCTTGTTGGACTGTATTTGGACGGCGGGTTGCCGTACTAGCAGTCACCGCTGGGCGGTGTTGTCTCGTCTGTGCTGCGTGGCACAGTGATGGCGTCTGACCAGACCGAGGTGACCGCTGTCCCCTCGGTCCTTGCGGGGTCAGTGCAGCATGTCCGCCCCTGTCAGAGCGGTCACGCCTGGCTGGGCTTGGCCTCTCCTCGTTCCTCCCAGGGGTCGGGATGGTGAGAGATCGTGAATCCTTGTTGCGTGTGCGGCTAAGACAAATGGAAGAGGTCGTGGCCGACACCGGTCTTAGCATCTGGCGTGGTCCGCTTGGCTTAGCTGAGCCTCGATCGTTTGGGCCTTCGTTAGTTGGTGTATCATGGGCCGCTCGACCTACTGACTAATCGATGTCTTGAGATACCGGGGATCATAACCCGATACTATGCAAGCGGGATTTTGCTTGGAGCCGAGGGCAGGCGAGAGAGTGTTGTGTGGCGTGGGAACGAAATGGAGATGGGCTTATGGCTTACGCTCTCTCCTCTAGCGACGCCGCAACGCTCGCCGGTCACCACTTTTTGCCAAGCCGGCAAGCTGTTGTGCCCCTTTGCGCACGCTGAGCGCACCTTTGTTCATGTAAACTCACATCTGTGAACATACTCTCTTATGGTTGATGAAGTTACCACGTACGCTGATCAGAGGCACGTCGCCCAAAATAGTGCTATGAGTCTGTTTGGATCCTCAGGGATTATAGGAACCCGGATAAAATTAATCCTAGAATCCTAAAACCTCTTCCAAACCGGTATAGGATTCTTAGATTTTATCTCAGACACAAAATTCAATAAAAACACATTGGATGTTTTTTTATCCAAATTCTTAAAATCCTAAAGGATCCAAACGGTATCTGAATTCTTAAAACCTGACCAACCGAGTAATGCTCCGTTCATATTTTACTCATCCGGTACCATAGTATTTTTTTATATAAATTTATCTAAATCTAAAATTATGTCTTAAAGAAACGAGTTTAAGTTTGATCAAGTTTATAGTAAATAGTATTATTATTTATGTCTCTAAATAAATTTATTATAAAAATATATCCGATAATGAATTCAATGATACTCATTTTGTATCCTGAATGTTAGTATTTTTTATATAAATTTAGCCAAAGTTCAAACTATTTGACTTCTCGAAAAGCGAGAATTGCATTTTTTTCTGGACGAGAGAGTACTCTTTTTCAATGGCAGCTTTCAAATAGTTAGCTAGATGGGGCTTAGAAATAATAAAAAAGGACACTATAGTAGAGAGTTATGTAAGTTATGAGAGAGTTGTTTCTAAAAGATCGTGGTAGATTAGTTATTTGAGAGTCGTTAGCTATTTAGGGGCTGTTCGGCAGGACTGAAAAATAAGTCAAAATACTGTTCCGACTGATTGTTGTGAGAGAAAAATACTGTTCTATCTGAAAATACTGTGCACGTGAAAAATGCTGCTATGAGTGCGCTGGCCAGCCCAGCCGAACGCAGCCTTAATCTCTTTCCTTGACAATTAATATAATTTTTTTAGACTAACTATTTGGAAAACATTTGAACGTCATTAGACCGTCTCCGATAACCTTAACCCAAAATATAAGATACATTCGTCCTTTAAGTAGTCTACATGCAAAAGGTTTAATATTTATTTTTTTTCTCCTCCAACAACACTACCTAAAAGATAACTTTTTTGTAAATTGAGTCTTCAGGAGAGAGGATACTCAAATTTTAATTATATCTTTCCTAGTATTTAAAATAAGTCTTTTATATAAGTACTCTCTTAAATGTATGGATTTGATATCCAATAGACACGCAACTGTGCCACTGAGCCTGAGCCGTTGTTTTTCGGCGAGAGCATCGATTGCTTCTCCGCGCTAGTACTGCGCTGTGCGGCGAAAGCCCATACCGCTAGTACGCCTATATACCTGCGCCCGCGCCCCACCGCGCCATTACGTAGCACTACAGTCCAATTCCTACACGTCCAGGTCCAGTCCAGCAGCCTCTACGGCGTACAGAGGAGGACTAGCGCCAGTACTCTACTCCTACTGCTGCCACTGCCAGGGACGCAGAGTGCGGGCTGTCCGTCACTCCGTCAGGCTCCGCCCCCGCCGCCCCCCCCCCAGCTTTCCAAGGTCCTTTCTCTCTCTCTCTCTCTGGTTCGTCTGAGCGCGCGGGGTCCCGCGCAATCAGCGTCACGGTTCATACTGGAGAACACGCAAAAGACAGCAGCAGAGGCAGAAGATCGCCGGCAGCAGACATATGCGCCGCCGTTGCTGCATCGTGCTTGCTTGCCCGCTCCCCTTCTTCTGATTCTGTGTCGCGGCTGAATCGTGCTGCCGTCTGCCGATACCGTCGCTATGTTTTTCTCTCCAGCAAATGGAGAGGCAATTCTTCTGCCGATACCGTCGCAAATATTTTACGCAGATTTTCTCTCCAGCAAATGGAGAGGATCAGAGATCTTCAGATCTTTCCAATTCTTCTGTTACAAGGATTCGGTGCAACAACAGGAACTGTTTCCATGTGAATGAAACACGCCAATTTTTCAAGTTAAGTCCAACAACGGACGAAACCAGCACATCACACGTAGCAGTACAACTGAGCGTGAGAGCAAAATGCAACGCTCTACTCCGGTAGACATTAAGATGGAAAAAGTCAGGTAACCCCATAACTATTTAGGTTATACTACTTCACTTTTCAAACTATAAAACCAGATTTTCTACCGCTTAACTTTCTTAAGCCGGTCAATAAACCCCAAGCGGTTTTGGATGATGGTTTTACTACGGTGATTGTGGTTTTGTCTTTTTATTTTTTATTTATTTTCGTTGAATCTTTAAAAAATCATAGTAAATCATAGAAAAATCATAAAATGAAAAATCTAATTTTTTTGACTCCACATGAGTAGATCTACACAGTGAATATATAATATGGTATGCTTTATTATCAAAGTTTTATCTGTAGCTTTAGATCTAAGCTTTTATGTAATTAATTAGAATAATTCATAGCTGTAGCTTCTATGGTCCAATTATCGTGAAATTTTTATGGTGAGCTAATTATTGTATGTTTAAATTGTAGTAAAAATTTCATACTAATTGAATCATATATAATTTAGTTATAGAGCATAAATCTATAACTAAGTTATACATGATCCAATGAGTATGAAATTTTTACTATAATTCAAGCATTCAATAATTGACATATCATAAAAATTTCACCACAATTGGACCATAGAAGTTGCAGCTATGAATTATTCACTTTAATTACATAAAAGCATAGATCTAAAGCTACAACAAAAATTTTGTACTAAAGAATATCTATATTATATATTCACTGTGTATATCTACTCATGTGAAATCAATAAAATTGAATTTTTTATAATTTACTATGATTTTTTTAAAAATTCAGTCAAAAATAAATAAATAAATAAATAAGACAAAAGGGTGTTCGGCTGGTGCATGTAACAGTGGATTTTAGATGATTCTGGATGCTAAAACAAGCTGAAACAATCCGAGACCTGAACAGGCGAACGCGGTGGTTTACCACCGTCATTGTAAAAATACTACGTCCAAAACCGTTTTGGGGAGGGGGGAGGTTATTTGATCGGTTTTGAAAAATCCAGGGTGTAGAAAATTCGATTTTATAGTTTTGGGGTGTAGTAATCCATCCTAAATAGTTTGAGGGTTATGTAGACTTTTTCCTAAATAAATAGATATCCACTTCTTGTTGTAACATAACACCACAGGGCAACACAGGCTAATTACACACAAAAAAACACCCTGGAGAAGCTACCCTATCCACCACTACACACCTTCAGTCCACAAGAACTCACTTCCTAGTAGTTACTCTACTGTAATCTGGCTCACAGCCACCACCCAGATTCATGTTTTCCCATCTGATGAGCACAGCAGATGCAAAGCCACCAGCCAAAAAAAAATGCCAAAAGATCAGAGAACACGCAGAAACTAGTTCGTGCTCACCCTAGTACTACAAGTTTCTCCATGTTCTTCTTCCATTCCACCAAGTGTCTGAACCTGATTGCTTGCTATAGTAGGAGGGACATCAATCCAAGAACCGCAGCCGCCATTCCCTGAACCACCACCAGGTACCAGAGCCCACCGACCCTGGCAGCCGACCGACCGGACGAGGCCACGAGGCTGGAGCTCGCCTCGGGCTTCCTCCCGCCCTCCTCCCCGTCCCCGTCCCGCGCCACGCTGGGCTCCTGCAGGTCCTTGCACACGACCACGCCCGACGGCGCGCGCGCCGCGTCCACGGCCGCGATGTTGTAGCACAGCCCGGGGTTGTCCCACGACGCGAACCGCCGGCCCATCCGCCGGTAGAACCCCGCCGAGAACTGCAGCGCCCCCGTCAGGTTGTTGCCGTTCAGGTACAGCGCGCCGATGCTGGGCAGCTGGGCGAGCTCGGGCGGCACGGCGCCCGTCAGGCGGTTGTGGTCCAGCGCCAGGAACCGGAGCCCCGTCAGCGCCGCCATGGACGCCGGTATGGGTCCCACGAGGCCGACGTTGGACAGGTCCAGCGTGGCCAGGTTCGCCGCCAGCGTCTCCCAGCCGGACTGCGGCAGGCCGCCGCCCAGCTGCGGGTTGTTCGACAGCAGCAGGTCCTGCAGCGACGCCATGCCCTGCACGAACTGCGGCAGCCCGCCGGTGATGCTGTTGTTCCGGAGGTCCAGCAGCGTGAGGGTCTTGAGCCCCGCGAGCTCCGGCGGGATGCTGCCCTGCAACAGGTTGTTGCTCAGGTCCATCTTCAGGAGCCCCGTGAGGCCACCTAGCGACGAAGGCAGAGAGCCGGTTAGACAGTTCCTGCTCAGGTCCACGATCAACAGCTCGTCATCGTGGGCGTGGCGGTGGCGGCGGTCGTTATTACCGAGTGTCGCCGGGATCGGCCCCGACAGCCCGTTCCCGGACAGCACCAGCCGTCTCAGCCTCGACAGCGCGCCCAGCTCGGCGGGGATGGGCCCCGTCAGGTTGTTCTCCACGAGCACCAGCGACTGCAGGCTGGCCAGGCGGCCGAGGGAGGGCGGGATGCCGCCGGTGAGGCCCGGGTTCGTGCGGAACTCCAGCGTCTCCAGCGTCCCCGACAGCTTCTCCCAGCCGGCGGTCGGGATGGCCGTGGGGTTGCTCGCCGGGAAGCAGCTGTAGAAGGACAGCGTCCGGAGGCGCCGAAGGTCGAACAGCTGCGGGCTGAACTTGGCGTCAGGGGTGCACTGCAGCGAGTTGTCGAGAACTGGGCCAATGCTCATCACTGTTGGGTACCACAGCCCATTGAAGAGATCACATGACACCCCCTGCACGGTTAAAATCCACAGAAATTGAATTGAATTTTAACAGGCAGACAACCACGCTGCAATCTGAGTGTCCCTCGCTTGCAGACACGGAAAGTAACACAAAGATGAACAGTACCCGGAGTGGTAACTACTAGCAGATGGTGACATTTCTTAAAGGTCCACCTACAAATTTGGCCCCTTCTTAACTTTACTAGTAACAACCAAATTGAAATCCCATTGTACCGTGAAGGTAAATAGGCATGTGATTCCAGTTATTGTTAGAGCAAAGTCCTATGGAGTAGAAACATAATAGTAGTAGTAGGAATGAATTCCTTCTCGGGGGAAAAAAAAGCATGTCCGCGAGCAAAAGGAACATGATACTAAAATAGATAGTACTGTATGAGAAAATCTTGAGGGGAACATGCCATTTCAAATCATGGGAGATTCTTTCATGCGAGTGGAAAGTTCCTGCCCAAGAGATCAGATCCTCCTCCTATATCAAGTAAAGGCTGAGTGTGAAGACCGAAGAGGATCAAGCAGAGGTCTCGTCCAACAGTGAACTGAATGTGCACAGCAAAACAGTGGCACACTCTTGATTCTTGAAGCAACAGTTGAGGAACAGGGAACACAAGACAAAACAGAGGCTACCGAAAGCCAGAAATTCTGGAAGAGACGAGGAAGGTTTTAAACATGGAAAAATTCGACAAGAGATTGTTGGTGACTTGTCCTGCATCCCCAAACAAGACACTAATTTATTTCATTTTGGAAACTACCGACTTGATCCTCCTTTCGCAAACGGTTTTGGATTGGAGCTCAAAGCAGGCAAGCAGGGGAGCACCGAGAAAGGGCATGTGACGAGGACGGGCAAAGCCGAAAAACAAACAAAGAGAAAAGCTTCTCTCATGTATCTGAAGAACATGATGAGGATGAACATACGCGGGCCAGGAAATCAAACAGCACAGCAGCATAGATACATACGAAAGGGAAAGCGCAGGCACGCAGGCAGGAAGGCAGGGGCGCACCTGGATGGGAGACCAGCCGCAGGGGTCGGGGTAGAGCCCGGAGCCGTTCCACCCCTTGCCGACGAAACTCTCGATGGCGGCGTACAGGGCCCTACGCTCCTTCTCCTCCATGGGGGCCGTCGCCGCCGCCGCCGCCGCCGGGGCGTCCGCGCCGTCCTCCTCAGCTTGCTGCCCCGCGCAGCCACGGAGCAGCAGCGCCGCCGAGACCCAGAGCGCGAGGCCGAGAACCAGCAGCCCGCTCCCGCGGCAACCGCCAGCGGGCCTCATGGCCGGACGAACAGGAACCGGACAGCACACCTCCTCCTCCTCGCTCAGGAAGTCAGAACTGGATCGAGCGAGCGCTCGGCCCCGGCCCCCGCTATATAGCAGCAGCAGCAGCAGCCATTGCTGGGTGCTGGCTGGCTCTGTCTAGCGCTGCTGGGTCTCTCGCGAAGTGTGCCCCTTCTAGGTGGCAAATAAATGCGGGGCTTTCGCTGTGCTGCAGAGGCGACGGCGGCTGACCTGGGACATTCCCCTATGCCAAAGAGCTGCTCTGGGGATCCCGATGCGGGCGGGCGGCGCGCCGCAGACGACAGCAGGCAGGCAGGCAGCTCGCCTGGGTTGTGCTGAGGGTTGGAGTTGGAGAGAGACTTGCGAGACGGGGGCTTGGTTTTGTAGTAATGTCGCGGCAGGAACAGCGTGGACTTGCCGGGCAAGGGTGCAAGTGAAAACTCCTTAAAATGACTTGCAAAGGGGGTAGAGTAGACACAAGCGGAAACTCCTTAAAATGACTTGCCGTAACGATGGCACGTTGGCTCTACTGCTACTGCAGCGTCTGCGCCTCCCCTTTCTACCCTACTAGTAGGGATGTAGGAGTAGTAGTCCTTTATTACCGGGAGTAGCGTGGTGCCTACTCCCTTCGTAAAAAAACCCCACAATTCTAGCTTTAAACCGTTTAAACATGGATACATCGAAGCTAGAATTATGTTTTTTTCTTAGACCATATTTAGTTCCTCTAATTAAGGCGCCGCCAAATATACTGTAGCGCACTGTAGCATTTCGTTTGTATTTTGTAATAATTATCCAAACATTGACTAATTAGACTCAAAACGTTCATCTCGTAAAGTACAATCAAACTGTGCAATTAGTTTTTTATTTCGTCTATATTTAGTACTTCATGCATATACCGTAAATTTAATGTGAAAGAAAATCTTCTTTTTGCATAGTGATAAATTCAGAAATTTGGGGAACTAAACATGGCCTTAGACGGAGGGAGTACTCTGCAGGATGAACAGAGGACGGAAGGATGAGATTGGGGACACGAGGGTCAGCCACTTTATATTTGCGCTCTTTTCTTTTCTTTTATGTAAAAAGAAAAATCTCACGGATATTTTACAGGCTCCCTCTATCCTGATTATTTGTCGCTTTTGGTTTCCGTGACACAAGTTTGACTCGATTTGTAGAAAATACATGCATTATTTGTATCTTTAAAGATATCTCCAATGATACTAATTATGTACCATAAATATTAATAATTTTAATATATATTTTATCAAAGTTGTTTCTCGGGAAGCGAAAACGACGGATATTTTGGGACGGAGAGAGTATGAACTTATAGTGTTACATTGGTGTCAATATTTATGCTTGATCATGGTGAGTATATTCCGTGACGGATCCAGAACGAAAATCCACCTATAACAAACTTTGTAGTTCAAATTTGTATTAGAAAACAACCACACAAAAATAATAATATGCTTGTATGTATATACATAAACCATATCACAATCTCATAAATGGCATTATAATTATGTTAGAGATGAATTTTTCGTTAGAGTTCATCATAAACATCACTCGAACATGAAATCAAACATTGGATAATTTTAGTGAGGGCGCATTGTAACACCCTCGGTGTTACGCCATAAACCAACTACTAAATCACGTCACGAGTTTGGACGGGGACCTGGACCCCTTGACAGGAGAGTGGTAGGTTGGTCTTGCTTGTGCCTAGGGTACAAGCAGGGCGTGTGTTTCGCGGTACCCAGCTGGAATACATTGATTCGCTAATTGCAGTGTGATGCGGTACGACTTAGCTATAGTCTAACACCGTAGTAAGAAATGAAATATAAAAGATGGTAAAATAGTTCTGATTGCTTAACACCTGCTTGAAAGTAGCGTAGGTGCTCTAAAGCTAGTTCTTTTTGCCTGCGTTTGTGTGTCCTTGTGTTTTTTGTGCTCTAAGTCTGGTTCTTTTTGCCAGGTGGAAACTTTACCCGATCTACTTGTTTGAGCAAGTTTAAGTGTAGGAGCTAGTGAGGACATCTTTACGCATCCACTAGAGGTCCCGGTAAAAAGTAAATTCAAATTATGTGGGACAAATTCGTAGTTCTTGTAGATAGCTTATTCTTACCGCACACCCGATTTGCATAAGACAACTGATAAGCATCGAACATCCCACTGAAATGAGACATCTAGTGTACTAATTCCACTACGAGTTTTGATTTTAGTTTCTGAGATCAGGTCTATTCACTCACTACCCCTCTAGACCCTATTGACCCTTTCAACGAACTGCCATGACAAAGTACTCAAACGTAAATTCAGAGGTTATTACTTCAGAACATGTTGCATGATGATGGTGTGTGTCAGTAATTTAGATATAAATTTATAGAGTTGTTGCTTCGCATTATATTTTTATGATGACGTAGTTCAGTAATTTAGATGCAAATTTAGGTGCTACTTTAAATTGTTTTAAGATAGATATGATTTTTTTTCAACAAAAAAGATCTGCTGACTATTATTAGCAATAAGTATTATTGTTTATTGGTGGCCGAATCTTTCTGATTTTTATAAAAAAATAAGATTTTTTTCTAAAGTTGTTCTTGATAATTAATGAGCTTCCGTGTTGAGTTGTGATCAAAATTCAGTTATGTATAAGATAAAGGCTAACTTCTGCCGGAGCAAAGCGAGGCCCGTCGCCGGGAGGCTTGGGCCGAACCGAACCATCATCTCGAGGGCTCGTTGCATGCTGTCCAATGCTCGTATGAACAGGCGTTTTTGGGCTGAGGCTGCTAACACCGCTTGTTACTTGATTAACCGGTCACCTTCTATCCCACTTAATAAGAAAAATCCCATTGAGGTATGATCTGGTATGCCTGCTGATTATTCACAGTTGAGAGTTTTCGGTTGCACTGCTTATGCTCATGTTGATAATGAAAAGTTAGAACCTAGAGCTATTAAGTGTCTGTTTCTTGGTTATGATTTTAGAGTTAAAGGATATAAGTTATGTAATCCTGAAACTAAAAAGACTTTCATGAGCAGGAACGTTGTTTTCAATAAATCTGCTATGTTTAATGATAGCTTGTCCACAGATGTTTTTCCAGTTGGCTCTGATGAGGAGCAGCAACATGTTAGTGTGCAGGTGGAGCACATAGATGATCAGAAAACTAAAATTGTTGATAACAATGTTTATGATATTGTTCAGCACTCACCTCCTGTTTTGCAGTCTCAAAATCAGTCTATTGCAGATCACAGAACAAAGAGGAACTGTAGACCTCGTCCACTTTTAATTGAGAAATGTGATATGATTCATTATGCTTTTAGTTGTGCTGAACAGGTGGAGAACATTCATGAGCCGGCTACGTACACTGAAGCTGTTGTTTCTGGTGACCGCGAGAAGTGGATTTTCGCCATGTAAGAGGAGATGCAGTCACTAGAGAAAAATGACACATGGGATGTTGTGCACTTGCCTAAACAAAAGAAGGCCGTTCGTTGTAAATGGATCTTCAAGAGAAAGGATGGTTTGTATCATAGTGAGCCTCCAAGATTTAAGGCAAGGTTAGTAGCAAAAGGCTTCAGTTAGATTCTTGGTGTTGATTATAATGATGTGTTCTCTCCAGTTATAAAGCATAGTTCAATTCGTATATTTTTTGGTATTGTTGCTATGCGAGATCTTGAGCTTGAGCAGTTAGATGTAAAGACTACGTTTCTATATGGAGAGCTCGAGGAGGAGATATACATGGACCAGCCAGAAGGGTTCATAGTACTTGGTAAGGAGGATCATGTTTGCAAATTAAAGAGGTCCTTATATGGTTTGAAACAGTATCCTCGTTAATGGTATAAAAGGTTTGATTCCATTATGATGCCACATAGTTTTAAGAGGTCTAAATTTGATAGCTGTGTGTACATTAAATTTGTTGATGGATCACCTATATATTTGCTGTTATATGTTGATGATATGTTGATTGCTGCCAAGAGCAAAAAAGAAATCATTACGTTGAAGAAATTGTTGAGTAGTGAGTTTGAGATGAATGATCTTGGTGCTGCTAAGAAAATTATAGGTATGGAGATTACAAGAGACAGAAATTCTGGTTTATTATTTCTTAGTCAACAAAGTTACATTAAGAAAGTTTTTCATCGTTTCAACGTGCATGATGCAAAGTCTGTTAGTACTCCTATTGCTCCTCATTTTAAATTATCAACTTTATAATATGCTAGTACGGATGAGAATTTTGAGTACATGACAAGAGTTCCATATTCTAGTGATGTTGGTTCTTTGATGTATGCCATGGTTTGCTCTCGTTCTGATTTATCATATGCTATGAGTTTGGTTAGTAGATACATAGCTAATCCTGGTAAAGAACATTGGAAGGTTGTTCAGTGGATTTTCAGGTACCTTCGTGGCACAACATATGCTTGTTTGAAGTTTGGCAAGACTGATATGGGACTCACTGGCTACGTGGATTCAGATTTTGCTGCCGATTTGGATAATAGGAGATCTCTCACGGGTTATGTGTTCACTATTGATGGTTGTGCTGTGAGTTGGAGGGCAACATTGCAGCCCGTTGTTGCCCTGTCTACCACTGAAGCAGAATACATGGCTGTTGCTGAAGCATGTAAAGAATCGATTTGGTTGAAATGTTTGTTTGCTAAGCTTTGTAGAGATGATTCTTGCATTAATTTATTTTGTGATAGTCAAAATGCTATATGTCTCACTAAAGATCAGATGTTCCATGAGAGAACGATGCACATTGATGTCAAATATCATTATGTTCACGATGTTGTCGCGCAAGGTAAGCTGAAGGTATGCAAGATAAGCACACATGATAATTCTGCTGATATGTTGACAAAGCCAGTTCCTATTGCTAAGTTTGAGCTAGTTGGTATAACTGTTTAGCCCAAGAGGTTATTTGGCACCGGAAGTATTTCTTTGTTGTTTTAGGGTGAATGTTCGTTTTATGCTACAAGAAGGATTTTGTCTTAAGGTGGAGTTTGTTGAGTTGTGATCCAATGTA